CCCGTTCAGCAATGTCCAATGCCAACTGGACAGCTTTGAGCTCTGCGAATTGGCTCGATTCTCATTCTCCTTCAGTAGCTTCTGAAACTTGCCGGGCAGGGCTCCATACAGCTGCTTTCCATCTACGTTTTGTTCCTACAAGGCGACAGGAACCATCAGTGAAGAGGGCGTAGCGTCTTTCTTCTTTTGGTAGCTTATCGAAATCTGGGGCTTCCTCAGCCCGTACCACCTGCTCTTCTTCTTCATCTGCTAGACCAAAACTCTCACCTTCCGGCCAGTTCGTGATGATTTCTACGATCCCAGGGCGATTCAGATTTCCAATACGGGCGCGCTGCGTGAGCAGAGCAATCCACTTACTCCATGTAGCATCAGTGGCGTGATGTGTAGAGGGCGCCTTTCCCTTAAACATCCAGTTCAGCACTGGTAGTCAAGGTGCCAGAAAGAGCTGTTCTTCTGTGCCAATCACCTCTGAGGCAGCTTGTACTCCTTCATAAGCTGCTAGGATCTCCTTCTCTGTTGGGGTGTAGTTGGCCTCGGATCCTCTGTAGCTTCGGCTCCAGAACCCAAGTGGGCGGCCCCGGGTCTCGCCAGGCACCTTTTGCCAGAGGCTCCAGGAGAGACCTTTATTCCCAGCTGCAGAATAGAGTACGTTTTTCACATCTGTTCCCGTTCTGACTGGCCCAAGGGCTACAGCATGGGCAATCTCTTGTTTAATCTGTTCGAATGCTTGTTGCTGTTCAGGGCCCCACTGGAAATCATTCTTCTTGCGGGTTACCAGATAGAGAGGACTTACGATTTGACTGTACTCTGGGATATGCATCCTCCAGAAACCTATGGCACCCAGGAAAGCTTGTGTTTCCTTCTTGCTGGTCGGTGGGGCCATTGCTGTGATCTTATCGATGACTTCTGTCGGGATCTGACGACGCCCATCTTGCCATTTCACCCCCAGGAACTGGATCTCTCGGGCAGGCCCCTTGACCTTACTCTTCTTTATGGCAAACCCGGCTCCAAGGAGGATTTGGATGATTTTCTTTCCTTTCTCAGAAACCTCTTCTGCTGTGTCCCCCCATATGATGATGTCATCAATGTACTGCAGATGTTCTGGAGCTTCACCCTTCTCTAATGTGGCCTGGATCAGTCCGTGGCAGATGGTGGGACTGTGTTTCCACCCCTGGGGCAGTCGGTTCCAGGTGTACTGCACGCCCCTCCAGGTGAAAGCAAACTGCGGCCTACACTCAGCTGCTAAGGGAATGGAGAAGAATGCGTTCGCAATGTCAATGGTGGCATACCACTTCGCTGTCTTGGACTCCAGCTCATACTGGAGCTCCAACATGTCTGGAACAGCAGCACTCAGTGGTGGGGTAGCTTCATTCAGGCCACGATAGTCCACAGTCAATCTCCATTCTCCATTAGACTTACGCACAGGCCAGATGGGACTGTTGAAGGGTGAGTGGGTCTTGCTGATCACCCCTTGGCTCTCCAGCTCACGGATCATCTTATGGATGGGGATCACAGAGTCTCGGTTCGTCCGGTACTGCCGACGATGCACTATTGTAGTGGCAATTGGCACTTGCTGTTCCTCAACTTTCAACAACCCCACGGCAGAAGGGCTCTCCGAGAGGCCAGGCAGCGAGTTCAACTGTTTAGCCGCCTCTACCTCCACAGCAGCTATTCCAAAAGCCCATCTATGTCCCCTGGGGTCCCTGAAGTACCCGTTCTTGAGATAGTCAATGCCCAGGATACATGGGGCATCTGGACCAGTCACAATGGGGTGTTTCTGCCAGTCTTTCCCAGTCAAGCTCACCTCAGCTTCCACCATGGTCAACTCTTGGGACCCTCCAGTCACCCCAGAAATGGAAATAGTCTCTGGTCCCACATGTCCTGAGGGCATTAACGTACACTGAGCGCCAGTATCAACCAAAGCCTGGTATTTTTGTGGGTCTGACGTGCCAGGCCATCTGATCCACACAGTCCAATAGACACGGTTGTCCCGTGCCTCTACCTGGCTAGAGGCTGGGCCCCTCTAACACTGGTCTTCATCCTGCCAGTCACCATCTTCCTCTTGTGAATGCCGACAGGAGGTACCCTCTAGAGGGTCAGATCCCTGCCCACAGGATACTGGCATGGCACTCACTTTCACAGACTTCCCTTTTTCTTTCTCTTTTAACTCTTGTACTTGGGCTGCTAGAGCATGGGTAGGTTTCCTGTCCCATCGGTTTATGTCTTCTCCATGGTCAGTCAGGAAGTACCACAACTCAGTTCGTGAGGTCTGCCCGCTCTCTTTAGCTGGGGGCCGTCTGGTTCTCACTGGGGCCACATGGGAATTGTTTCCCTCAATCCTCTCTTTCAGTCTCTCCTGATTATCTTTCAACCCTGCAATTAATTCCTTGAGCTCCTTCATCATTGTCTCTACAGTGGAGATGCGGGTCTGTAGCGGTCCTTCGATCATACTGTTGTACAATCGAAGTTGATTTATTATAGACATCACTGGCTCCCGCTTCTCCCCAGCCTGCAATGATGTCAGGTAACCTTTATGTGTGGACGGCCCCATACGTGTGAAGCTCCACCACATCTGGGGTGTACACTTAACCTTGTCAGGATCGTTGGTGGGTTGCCCATCCCCTCCGAACAACACTTCTAGCAGTGCCATTTCCCTCAGACGTAGGATCCCTTCCTCTATGGTCTTCCACCTTGTGGTATAATGATCGACCTGCAAGGAATCTCTGTAGATGAACCTCTCCCTCACACCATCCAAAAGCCGTGCCCAGAGGGACAGGGACTTCGATTCCCTCACAAATGCCTCCTCAATACCCACATCCTGGGCAATAGACCTCAAGAACCTTGCTTCACCGCCATCAAGGTTTATGGCATCACCTGTGGAGTCCCAAACTCGGATCATCCAGGTCAGAACAGGCTCATTGGGGCGACGAGCAACGTCTGCCTGTAAGCTCCGGAGGTTGTTATACGATAAAGACTCAGTGATGATTTCTGGCTCTGGAGCAGCCGCCTGTGAGGGTCCGGCCTCCCCATCATCGTCAACTGGGCGAACTGATTTGGCTTTATATTTCTTCCTCTGGATAGGGGCAACCTCCGTTGGCTCGGCCTGCCCCTCTGATTTGGCCTTATCCTGAGTCACCTTGGTATTAGGCATTTTGGTTTCATCTTTTCCTTTTCCCTGAAAATGCTGCACCATACTGAGCAACTTCTGGTAAGCAATGGCCAGAGCCCCACATGCAGCTGCCAACTGCCTCTCCATGGATCCATCACGACCTCTCTCTCTCACAGCTTTCATTATTTTTGTAGGGTTCAAGAGTTGTTCAAGGGTGAGCTTTCACGTTGTGGGAACTGAACAACTTTCTAAGAATTTACCCATATCCTCCCATAATCCATGCCACTCGAGGTTTTCTATCCCTGGGGCAGGCGCCTGGGTGCCCTCTCGGTAATTCTTGGCCTTGGCTGCATATATTAGGTATATTGTGTTGGCACAAACTAGGGTGGAAACCCCAACAAGTAAAACATCTCTGACATCTAAAGAGGGTTTAAACACGCCAAAGGCCGTTGTATTGTATCCAAAGGGAAACTGAATAAAGGATTGGGCAAACACATTCCCCTCTGTTTCTCTGCTCCGTTTCTCTTACAGGGAAGCAGGGAAGGAAAAATTCCTCTCTCAGATTATAACCTATAACAATTTGGAACTGCTTGAACTTCCTATTTTATTTTACTGCTGTCATTGGGCAAGTAAGTCCCACCCCACAAAAAGCAAAAGACAAAAAAAAAAGATGAATTGGGGAATTAAATTCATTTGAGTCCTGTTACCAAAAAAAAAGATACAATTTTAAACAAAAAACATGTACACTGAAATTATCCACCTGATTACCAAATAAAGGCACCATGATAATGTAGGACTAGTGGGATGATTATGACTGTAAAAGTATTAGGTCAATGGATTCATGTTCCACTGAAGAATTTTTGGAAATGCTCAGAACCAAAGAATAGGTCCAAGTGTTTCTTGTCTATTTTTCTGTCCAATAAGAAGTGCCTGGCTATAATAGTAATGAAAAGCATTTTTAAATGGGGGAAAACAAATGCAATGTAAAATGTAACCTATGACTTCTGGTCATTTTAGTTGCATACCTTTTAAATTGAAGCATATTTCTTAACTAAACTAAGACTCTTCATACATTCTAAAATAGCAGAGGAATGCTATGGTATTCTGGAGGTGTTTCTGTCTTTTTCTCTTTTTGCAATGTCAATCATTCTGCTCTTGATATCATATATATGTAACAATCTGAGTCAGAGAGATTCAATTTTTGGAGAAAGAGTTACTCCCTCAGTGTTGTTCTTTTCTCTCAATTGGAACAGCCCTTCTCTTTTCCTGTGAAGTTCAATATTTATTAGAAAACTGTGGGAATGAAAAAGGCCAAATGTCCTATAAAAATGTATTTATGCAGATGAAAGAACATCAGATTAATATTTCTGAACTTAAACTGGCAGCTTGGTGCTCAATGAGACAAGTGTGCTCAAAGATTTTCTCTAATTCACCATTCAGGCTTTGAAGAAAGTTTTCTGGGTTAGATCCTAAAAAAGAACCTGAAGTAGGGCTTGATGAGATTTAACAATGAAGTCTAAAGCAGCAACTGAAAAACCCCAGTTGGGGACTTCTGTATGGCCTCTGCAGGTTTTGAGTACCTCACCATATTTCATGTTATCTGTCACAAAATCCCATTCCCCATTCAGCAGAGGAGTACTGTTTTCCATAGTCTCCCTTTTGCTATTTATGTACTTGTTGCCCTTTCTTGTTGGCTTTGCTAGATTCAACTCCAGGAAAGCCAGCTCTTGGTTTCCCTAACCCTATCCCTAGAAGACTGGACAGCAACTATGTACTTCTTCTGAGTCACCTGCCTCTGTGTTCAAATCAGATATACTTTTTTACCTACATTCAGTTAAAAGACTATTGCTCATCCATGCAGTCCATATGCTGTCTTCATTTCCTACTTGTCAGAACAACTCTTTCTTGAGCTTTGGAGGAAGTGATCCTTGAATATCAACCAGCTCTCCTGAACCCCTCTTCTCTCTCAGACTATATCCCTTGGGATTCTCCCAAGCAGGTCCGTGAAGAGACCAAAATCTGCTCTCCAGAAAACCAGGATCGCAGACCTACCACTTGCCCTACTCCCTCCTTTCAGGATCTTGAGCATCAGCACTGCAATCTCTGGCTTTCACATGCCAACAAGTTCTTCCTTGTTTGTAAGTATCAGGTCCAGGAGCGATACTTTCCTTCATGTGCTAGGAATGAGAATAGGCAACAACAACTTGACCTATTTGTTGCTATTCTTTTCTAGGAAACAGCAATATACACCTGTTGCCGAATAACCTATTACTTTGAGCATCTGGATTGAATATTCTTCTTAATCTGGGAGTTTTCAAAGAACTCATTCAACTTAACCAGTTATGTACCTAACTTCTAAACTATTTTTTAAAAGTATATCATCATGATATAATTTCTTTCTCTTTCTTTTCAAAGAGCAAACTTTATTCCAGACTTGTAAATGTTAGCTTCTATCCCACAGAAAGGACTAGTCTCAGGAGAGGACCAGTCAAGGAACATTTATAAACTCATGCTCTAATTTATACCCATTTACATATTTAATTAGCCTATGAAATTTCCTGTTGAACATCTTTCTTCCCCTGTATCAACTCTGGACCTAACACAATGACCAGTCTTAAACAGGCAGTCAGCAAATTAAATGTCATTAACTAACACTATTGTGGAAAGTAAAGCTAAGATAAAATTTATTTTAAAATGTAAAGGAGTTAAAAACTAGATGCATAGGACTTTTTTCTTGAAAAGAATAAGGCAAACAAGCTTTGCCAGGTTTGGAAAGAGTGTTTGTCATTTATCTGTATCTGAACCAGCCACCAAACATGCTTAACACACAACAGGGAGGTACATCAATTTTTAAGGTGTGATTCATCTGACCTAGTTTGGGGATCTACATTAAGCAGTGGTGAGCTGCATTCTAGAAATGCTTGTTTCTCTCCATTGGCTATAAAGGGAATATACACTGCAGTCTCAGGCACAGACAGACATGTATTGCAGATGCCTACATCAGATCATCATGAATCCCATGCCGGATGTAGGAATGAGGTATTTTCAGCAAGTCAAGTAACTCCTAAAATAACTAGAGAATGTAAACTACATCCTTGTGCTGCTATGATCTAATGAAGGCTGGTAAGCTTTGATGATACTCAGAGCTTCTACTGTGTAAAGTAAAGTGGAATAAACAGATAAAGGAAACATAAAAATAGGAGTTATTTCTTAGGTCTCCATGGAAGATGGAGATAAACAAGGGCAGTTGTTTTTTCAGATTGTCCTACCTGTCTATGTAAAAAGAACAGAGGTAGTACAAAGAAAACCACTTAAATGATCTGGTGAATTTGTTTTCCTGGAAGAGTCCAATTAAAATTGAGTGTAAAATGACCACTTTTAAGTAGCCATAATAGTTTAATAAATGTCATAAAACTAGCACTTGATCACATCCTTTAGTAATTAGAAGAAAAATCCAGGAACATGTAAAACAATTTATTTAATTTTATTATTCCTGCCAGCCCCTTCTGTACCAAAAACATACTCCATGGGAATTTCCAAACTGTGTAAATGACAGAGATAGAAATAACACAAGAAATTAATTACTCTTGATTATATTAGGAACACTGAAGGCAAATAGGGCCTCACTCTTGGTTCATCCCTTTTCTATTATTTTCCTTTTTCAGGCATTTTACTATCCAAGCACTTCATTATGTAAGTATTTGTTATTCTTCCCTGTCATTCCTACAGCACTTGGCAGGCTGTAAACCTGTATGACTTCATAGACAAGGCAGCTTTATGATGTTAGCAACAGCTCACTTCAATTTTTCCGTGTCTGTAACATTTTTCCAAGCTTTCCTAGAATACATAATGATAGGTTAAGAATACTTGTATTTCAATGAAAGATTGTATTCCAATGGAAGAGTGTTTGGTTTTCTGGGGTTTGTTTGGTTTGTTTTGGTTTTGTTTTTGTTTTTCTTAATTTTTGTTTTGTTTTTGTTTGTTTGTTTGTTTGTTGTTGTTGTTTTGGTTTTGTTTTTTTTTTGGGGGGGGGGTGTTGGATTTTCAGTGTTGTTTGGTTTTTTTTTTCCGGAGAAACACTCAATGCCATTTCCAGTGACATATAACTTGCTCTTATAGGAGAACCTAAACTGGAACACTCAGTACCCCAAATGGAGTGCAAGAAATTTTTATAGTGGCCACTGAATGCTTGAAAAGTTATCTCAAATGAGAGTTCGGAATCACTACTACTACAAACCACTGCAAATCATAGCAAATTTTCAGTTAAATAATCAATATCTTCCTTATTACACTATCTGCACTTCTGTTATTAAGCCATATTTTACAGACATGTAGAGAAAGTATCCAAAATCACAGCTGGCATAATGCCACCAAGCTGGCTGATTTGCGGTAAGAATAACATTTTTGGTGGAAATCAGTCAACAATATCATGGGTAAAAATTGAATCAGACACAAAAATAAAAATGGTTTTAGAGGCTGCATTTTAAAGCCAGCATCACAGCTTATTTCCATTGCATGGTTATATCAAGCCTTTTTTTTTTTCACTCTTTGTATTGAACAGCATATCAAGCTGTTGACCTAAAACCTTAACAAATGAATTATGAACACTGCATGAGTACATGAAAAAAGAAATTTTGTACCTTCAGTCATCTAACCACTTGGGAAAATATGTTGCAATTTTTTTTAAGACTAGCATTACTACTTAATTGCATGTAATTTATAGTTCCTTGGGATCTTTTTCCTTATAAATAATTAAAGTTGTTAATCATGTTTTGCCAGAGTTTTCTTTATTATAAATGAAATTATAGCAGATCAAGTGTTCAGAATACTTTGAGCCTTGGACTTAGATCAGAATCACTAGTCTGTTTCATAGTAAAATTTAAATTTACTCTAAGTGTTTGTTGCAGTATTTCTAAAGAAGACTATCAAATTTTCAGTGACAGTTGGTGGCTTGTTTGGGTTTTTTTTCCCCAATATTAATGTTGCCTAAGGTATGCAAATTCCTAAAATTCTTTCAAGGAACAACCCAGTACAGAGGTTAAACATTACCTTCTCATTTCTTCGTATTTCACCAGTTAAGTAAAATAGCTCCACACACATATATTCTACATCTATCACATATATATCATAAAAAGATCTTGGGAACACATAGAGTTAAATATGCGCATTCACAGTAAAGGACCTACAGCAGCACTGAGAGGAAAAAGAATGACTTGTTAATGTACTTTATTTATATTGGGAATGGATGGAAGGATTTCTGGGACTCATTCTCTTCACTTACACTCATGCCTTGTGGACTGTGAGGTAATGTCCTCTGTTAAGTAAATGAAAAGCACTTCATTTACTGGACTGTGGAAAAAAATATCTGCTTTGAAAAAGTGTCTGGTAGTCTGTTGTCTCAGCACTACTGCTTCCCACCTTCTTAGATTCTATGAGCACATTCATTCACAAGCAAGAAAACTTTTTGCTTTCCACTTTCCTCCCTGCTGCCCATCTATATTCTGTTTCTTTCCCTTGACAAAGCATTCATCCTTCAGAAGATGTCAGAAGGCATATATTATAGACTACATGTTATATATTTTTTCATGTATGTTTCACATATACATGCCTTTTAATCATAATGGTATACATTCAATGTTAATCATATGTATTTGTGCACAAGTAAATACACACACACAGTGACAATCATTTTATAGTTTGCACATTTTTTATCAGTTGAATGTGAAAAACTGGTGTGCTGGTGTTTTGGGATTTTTTAAATCTTTTTTATTGCTGTTATCTGACGAAAACTATAATGGTATGTGAATATTGCTTAGAAAAAAATTGGAAACTATATTTGTGAATAAAAGATAATAAATTCTGTCATAAAATACCCATGTAAAGAGAAAAGTAGGATCTTTCTTTCAAAAGACTAGTAAACATAAGCACAGTATTCTAGAACTTGAGCTATTCAATAATTGTTTGTGTACACCTAGCAGTGGGATAACACATTCCTTAAAAAGTAGCAAGTAGGTTCAACAGGCACATTTAGCTGAGGATAAAAGGCCCTATGGGCTGCTCTGCAGTCTCCTACTTCTTTCATGAGAATGCCAAGTCACACTGTAGTTACAGCTAGTAATTTAATTCCTAATCACTCTCACCATTTGTTAATTTTTTGCCATATTGTAAGCATGCTAAAACACAGATATTAAAAATAAACTGAAGTATTTTCATTTATCAATTCTTGATCCAAAAAGTCTAATCATAAGTGTTTGCTATGTTTCTTTTCCTGAGGGTTGCCTGCAATACAAATGTTAATTTATCAAGGGTTCATCTCAGCTGAAAAGAAAGGAAAGGGAAAAAAGAGGCCCTTTTTAGAGAAAATCTGCTTGACAATGCACAAAATAAATATATTTTCCTATGTAATTCAAAGAACAAACATCCATTACAAGCAATATTTCGGTTCCAAATAACATCCAAATCAGAGAAGAAAAATAGATTTATTCTACAGGTAGACTATATCAAAGTTGAAAATAATGTACATGTAAATGTACCAACAAAATGCATAAAAGTCAAAATCTGCAAATATCCAAATTGGAGATCCGTATTATAATAAATGCTACAAAACAGAAGAAAAACTTATACCACAGAAGAAAACACTTCATTATTAAATGTTGTCAGTGTACCCACCAGTAAAGGGACTAGAAAGACATGGAAAAATCTGATTTCTAGATACAAGCAAGCATTTGTCTTATCAGCTGCCAAGTATCAAAACACAGATCCACTCCCCTATTGAACGTATGAATTGTTCTCATTTTATGACATCATTTGGGAAAGACTGAAACAGTAAGTCTCACAGAGTTTAGGTCTGTGGGCAGACAGAGCCTGGTAGATGTACAGCTGCGTATCCACAAATCTAATGTTTACCAGCCAGGGAAGTTTTGTCTAGATGTCCTTTAAGTTAACAAAAAAGTATGGCTTCTTCCAGGAGAAAGTTCAAGGCAAGTGTCTAACCTAAGTTTTCTGAGTCATCTGGGAAATTTCATCTTTTGCTATTTTCTATAGGTGGATCCTAGGGAAAGCTAGTGAGGAAGGATACATGTTTTATGCTTGCTTACTTGCAGTTTAATATCTACTATGTTCTTTCAGAAAGATAGAGGGCATCTGAAGAGAAGGATGATTTTATCCTGCCTTATGCATAACAGGTTAATCGTGCCTTTTCTGGGCGGGACTGAGTTTGCTCCACTGGAAGAAAATCAGGTAGGGAGAAGGGATCTGGCTTATGGACTGATCTCGATAGCCAAGGAAAAAGGTGATTCAGTGATCTTAGAGGACTTAATAGAGTTTGATTGACTCAGAAGTTACTAAAAGTGCCAATTAGAAAGTCAGGCTGTAAGAAAACTCCTGACTTCATAGCTGTATCAGGCAGGAGATAGGAGCTTAGAAGTTTTCTCATTGAGAGTGATTGCTTTGCTCTTTCATCACAACTTTAGAGACTGCTGCAGTGGTCTCCTGAATTATGGAGCATGTCTAACAGTTCTTTAAGTCCTGTCCAGCTCTGTCCAGCATCGAATTCTTCACTGGACCCTAAAGTTATGGAGTATCAAGTCATAAGCTTGACATTTTGTAAATTTTAGCTTGTTTTCCCACAAATGGTTTGCCTACATGGATATCCACTGTAATATGGTTCTATACAGTTTCACCCTTGGCTGGTATTATCCTGATGTACAAGTACTTGTGTTTTGAGTTTTGTCTTGTGTCCTAGAGGAAACAGCAGAGCATGCATCCAAGTTTAACCTGTGTCTTTTTTTTTCAAGTCACTCACATAAAATACAAAGTTGTTACTTTGTTGTTACACTTGCATTCTGATCCCCAAACTATAATTCTCACTTGGTGTTTTAGTCTTTAAGTACCTAGGGGAAGAGAGTCCTATAATAATTGAAAACCTACAGACTAAAGTAAATAGTATATCCTAACATATTTAGTGAATATAGTGAATATTTGGTAACTAATTTTGTCTTCTACATCCTTACAAGCAAATAAGACTTTTGAATGCTCAGGCATATATTAAATGATAGTATTCTTTGCACACACTGTGTTCCTTGTGTTCTTATTAAAGAAAATGAAAACACTACTCTTCTAATGTTTTTTAAATGGATATAATTTTAATATTTCTGATAACATATATAAAAAAAAGAAAAAGGAGATTCAAATAAATAAATAAATACATGCTATTTATTAAAGTTTTCTTGGCCTTTATAGTGAGTTTGTTCTTTTCTGATTTCATAAGGCCTAAATTTGAAAATAGTATATAAGATTTTAAATGTTTACATAATCATGGATGCCTGCTAAATCTGACAATATAATTAGCTTGTGTCCTGTGGTAGTTTGGACCTGGCTCCCTGCCAGTTCCTCAGGATCACAATGAAAAGGGCTCCCCCCTCCCTCTCTTAAAGGAAAGGAAAGGGAGAAAGAAAACAAGAGAAACAAAATAACAGAACTAAAGCAGTATATATGTATATGTATTTTCACTTATATACAATTACAAAAACTATATACACATAAGAAAGAAACCCCCAACACCCCCAAAACCAGAAAAAACAGATATACCTAACTAATAAAGAACTAACAAACCAAAATTTTAATACTTTCCTTGAGAAAACGAAAGCCACTCCACCAAATCTTGCCTCTCGAATCAGAAAAACAACAGGCCTCACAGGCCTCACTCCCACACGACTGAGACCGGCCACAGGGAGCCTGCTGTCACCAACTTTGCCGGAAGAGATCCGGCCAACCAACTTCCTCCAACTTCTATTTATATTCCTACTTACATAAAGAATAGCATGGAATATTGGAATATAGGTATTTCCCTAGTTTTGACCTGGTTGCCAGGAAGAGGCCTAGACCAAACCATTACATGTCCCTAGAATTAACTCTCATCAATTTATGGTACACTTTTTTATGGGGACCAATGTAAGTATAGGAAGATGGTGTTATGTTAGTGCCCCAGAAAATTTCCAGTTAAAAGGTTTTAATTTTGTTTTTCTGTTTCTAGACTATTACATTAAAGACAAGAAGGAAAAAGTATGTTCTGCATAGCCTACATCATCTACGTACTAAAAAATGGGGAATGTAAAATCCAAGATTAAGGGAATACATTTACAGAAGGGAATGATTATTTTACATTATGAGTTTCTGAGCAGAATCTGTAAGAGAAATTATAAAATAATATAGTCATTTTATAAAACACCAGTCACTCAGTAGAGAGCCAAAGTAGTCTTATACATGTATTAGAGAGATGAAACACTGCTGCACAGATGAAGATAGTGTTTGCTTTTAAGTATTGAATTAAAATTAAGTTGAATTTTGGTTTGCTGTGTTTCATTTGGTTTTGATATTTCCCTTGCTCTTTAGAGTACTACAATAAGGAATAGAAGCATATGTTTCGAGCCTCTTCTCCTTCAAGTGTTTTTCTTTGTTTACTTGGTTGGTTTTTTGGTTTGTTTTTTTTTTTTTCAGGTGCTTTCTACAAAAACTCCTTTGAAATGTGCTTCACAGTGAGTGTTTTGCCAGTCTGGTGTTAAAAGTTGTAGTTTTGTGTGAAAACTTATCCTACAGATTGTTATGGACAAATGTAAGCAAAAAGTGTTTTGGAACTTCTTACAATGCTCAAAAAAAAAGTTTAAAATATGGTTTTAAATATGGATTCAAATGACTGCAGGTCCTTGCCTCAATTCTTTATATTCACCCATCTCTTAGAGTAACCATGCAATCTGAACAAACACTGCACTATCTCCTCTCACAAATCAATGGTAAATGCAGTTCAAGTTAGGACTGCATGAGGGAAAAGCATGGATAGCGTATCTCTTTACCTTGACTCCTATCCATAGCAACATTTGTTGCTTGACTATATACAGGGTGTTGTATCCAAAGGTCAAATGTAATTTTGAAACTTAAAAATGGCCTTCATGACATTTGTAGTGTTCAACTCATCTTTCCCTGGAAAGTTGAACAAGAAAGGCTGTGACATTAGAGTTGGAGTTGCAGCACTGACATTAACTAGAGCTAGTCAACCAAACATATTGTAGAACAGCTTTTCAGAAAAGTTCCCTTTGCTATCTATGATTGTATCCTTTTGTCTTCTCCTATATATGTGAACCTCTTATAAAGAATTAGTCCCTCTTTTCCTGCTTTCAGATATTTAAACCTCACTCTCAACTCTTGCAAATGAGAAAGCACTCACTCCCCTGATACTGTTCCCCTTTTTAGCTCTTTCTTCTTTCACTTCATCACTTTGACAGCTCGGGAACTTTTGAATGACTGGATGTGTGCTGGAGGCAATGATAGAACTTCCACAACTAAAGCACCCTGCTTTTCCTCATCTGATTTTGAAAAAAAAATCATCACTTAAAGAGCTAAGCTAAAAAATGTTCCCCAAAATGGAAATACCTTGTTTATGTTTTTGTTTAAATTTTGTTAAATCCACTCCTGAATTAAAAAAGGCCCTCATTTTCGAGACACCAGTATGAGGCAATTTTGACTGAGACTATTTTAGAAAGCTAGAAACGAATTAGGTGGACCTAACTTCACTCATCTAATTTTGTGTCTTTAGCTGGCCTGCCTAAATTAGGAGTCTGTTCACCTTAGGCTTCCTTCTATTATTAGTGCAAAAAGATATTAATTTCCAAAAAGTGAGTCAGCTTGTGTAAGATATGAATCATTCTGTCAAGATGTCTGCAACTCTCCATAGGAGACACTTTCAGTAATTAGGCTTCTAAATTAATTGTCTCCGTTACATACCAAAAGACAAGGTGGGATGAACTCAGGTCATTGCTTTAAGGACTCTGGCAAAAAAGAGGGAAGATCACATCCCACTCTCTGCACATCTAGGCCTTGATATTGAATTCTCACACCTGTAGCATACATATATGCACAGTTATTTAAATATATGTTTCTTTTTATAGCATCAAGCAAAATGGACCAAAATACTGCCACCTTTGTACTGCTGCCACATTCAACAATAGAAGCAATAAATAAGGAATTCACAAAACATTTGCAATGCAAAAATGTATCGAGATAGTATGGATAAACACGGATGACACAGAGACAGTTGAAAATCTGGGTGTATGTGTCTGGAGTAGTCGTGCCTGAAAAGTAAAATTGCCCGCTGTTCTTAAAGAAAACTTCTTAGTTATAAGAGTCATACTTAAAAGTTCTTTTAATAAATCATTGGTCAATATAATGTAGCTTAATTTCAGGAGACAGTGACAATATCCTGAGTCCTTGGGGACTGAACTAAATAGAACAAAAACAACCAGCAGCCTGAGAGTGTTGTATATAATCATGTCTCAGTCAAGTTCTCCTGAGGAATTTGACTTGTCTCAGAGAGCAGTTTCTCTGCTGAGCTTCTACTTCACATTCTGCAGAGAATGTGGAATTCGTCTGGCTACTGATGCAATTAATTACCAGTATAATTAAAGAGAAAAATCTCAAACTCCTAGACAGTGGTTTCAAGACATCAGTTCCTTGCAACAACCTTCATCCTACTTTCACTAGGTATTGCATTGCACTATTTTAAGGCATTGGATTTATTCCACTGCATCTGTCTAAAACAGAAAAGGCTAAAATCATTGAGTTCAGTTCATCAGTGATAGCTTTTAGCACAAAAATAAATCAAGCCCAGTGGAGGTTTAGCATCATATTTGAAATGAATGGTAGCGTGCAAGTCCCTGAAATTTTCCTCCATCAGACAAACACTGGAGATATATCTTATAAAGATTAATGAATTGATAATGAGTTTTCAAGTTCAATGACACAGGTCCCCTACATAAAAAAGGACAGCTAATATAATTGCATG